CAGTGTCACTTACGAAAGATAGTGACTAAAAAGTCAAACCGTTTCCAAAACCATATTCAGTTGCTTGTGTAACTAACTTGTCGTTTAGGCCATGTTGATTTGATTATATGGATGACATTCTCCGGGAGCCCCAAAACTGATGCGCGCGTGCGAATAAAAAAAGTTTTCATTATGAAATCTACGTGGTCATGAGGGTTGAGCAAATGGCACAGAATATGGTTTGGCGAATAATCTAGTCTTCAAGTTCATTTCTTTACAATTTCGTCTTTTTTCGTTTGATTTTGGCATTCTACGACATTGGTATAGTTTTTATTAATTTTTTTGTAACTTATGGTATATGTTTGCTCATTTTGCAACTGTTTTGTACGATTTACAGTATGGTTGAAAACTTTTTTTTTTTGGAAACGGCCGAAAATTCATGCGCGCGCGGATGTCATCCATATAATCAAATCAACATGGCCTTATGTCTAGCTCCCATCGATGTAGTGAAAGCATGTATGTTTTGGTTACCGCTCATGTAATTTGTGGCGTAGTTATAGAGCGTTCGACTATCAAACGGCGAGTCCAGGCGAGACTCGGTTTCGATACCAAGTTGTACCCGGGACATGTCTGCACATATGCGCCCCGACTTTGTTACCTCGGGAAATACACTTTACACGACTTTCCTCACTCCACCCATGTGTGAATGGGTGCCTAACCTTTGTTGGGGAAAGTCGTATTGAGGTCACCTGGTGGGGCGGACCGGAATGGCAGCCGCACGGACCCTTCCGACCGTTCCATAAAAGTGTGTGTGGAGCAAATATATCTATGTAATATGGGATTGTAAACAGAGCATCAATTCAGCGCTTTAAAATGCTGCCATTGCACGGGCAATGTTTGTCCAATAAACCGTTTATCATTGTTTTAAACACAGCCACCAAGTGTCCCGCACTGTCACACCTCACCAATGGTTTCATCGGCGGAAACAAGTCTTACGGAGACGTGGTCAACTTTACCTGTGACCCAGGATACAAACTTGTTGGGCCATCTTCACTGACTTGTCTGTCTGAGGGAACTTGGAATGGAAACTCTCCAACATGCACAGGTAATAGTGCAAGTGGTAATATTTGCGCCTTTACTTTGAATTCGAATTGATCCAGATGTCGTTGATGAAGGTTAGACATCCAGGTAAACGATACTCGTAAGAAAATTCAAACTCTACTACTGGATCAGTTACGGATTTTCATTTATTTCCGGACGTTTCGAAACTGTATATTACCTGTATATTGAGTGAACCGTTCTTTTACATGATAAAGCTTCTTACGGACCTTGTTGTTTAACCGGTTTTTCTAGTTACTTGTATATAAGAGTGAATCGGTTCTCTGTTCATTTGTGACGCTGAAGAAGAGTGATGGATGTCACTCGAAACGTCTGGAAATAAATGAAAATCCGTAACTGATCCAGTAGTAGAGTTTGAATTTTCTTACGATGATCCAGATGTCATCAGTTATCAAAGAAAATCCAACAATGGTCGGATAGAATTAATTGCTGTGCTATTCACCTCATCTTGTCAAATAAATTAGGATGTTTTCAATCTAGCTGCCCAGTGTCCTCCGTTAACAAACCCCATCAATGGCTTCGTAACTGGCCCCAACTCCTACGGAGACGTGGCCAACTTCACGTGTGAGTCAGGATACAAACTTGTTGGTACATCTTCACTGATTTGTCTGTCTGAGGGAACTTGGAATGGAAACTCTCCAACATGTGCAGGTAAAGAATTTAAAAATCCATTTTGAATGATGTAATCAGATATTATTTTAGTCAAATTGATTAGACTGGTCTGGTAAAATCAATTGGACATGGTAAATATTTTACTTCTCGCTTTATCTTGTGAAATAAATTACAATGTAGGATGTTTTAATTCAGCTGCCCAGTGTCCACTGCTGTCAAACCCCATCAATGGCTTGGTGAGTGGCTCCAACTCCTACGGAGACGTGGTCAACTTCACGTGTGAGCCAGGATACAAACTTGTTGGTGCACCTTTACTAACCTGTCTGTCAGATGGAACTTGGAATGGGGACTCACCAATATGCACAGGTAAAATTTGTCTACAGTTTATTTGGTTCCTGTTTTTTTTCAGTTGGTGAATACAGCAAGGATGCTGCCTTGATCTACTCCGCTCACCTATGTAGTGGAGTAGTGCTGTGTTGCTTGAGGAGATGGATGTCATCAGACGGTGCAACCTTCCTTGGGCGTTTCGACCCTCAACCGTGACGCCCTCGAGTTGTTGGGTCCAGCAGTGGCGGCCAACTCACTGCACATCCTCTCCGCCAGGCTTCCAGCAACTTTCTTCTCTTCTACTCCATAACCAGCAGGATGACCTCTCTGCCGCCTCACCCAGCTTGCGAACCGCGACCTTTCTCTCCTTCCCTTTCACACCTATGGCGGTGAACAGCTTCCATACTGACTGGGCCGGAAAGCCCCTACAACCCACTTCTACAGGAAACAGCCACGCCTGCCATCCTTTACTTCTGCACTCATCTATGAGCTCCTGGTACTTGTTCTTCTTCCTCTCGTACGCCTCTTCACACCTTTCTTCCCAGGGGACAGTTAGCTCGACGAGAACTAACTTCTTCTCAGCTTCTGCCCACAGCACTGCGTCTGGTCGTAGCTTTGTCTGAACTACTTTGGGGAACTGCAACTTCCTCCCCAAGTCGACTCTGAGCTCCCATGTCTTCGCCTTCTCCAGAATGTTGCCTACTTCTCTAGATCTGCCTGTGATCGTTCTCCTCTCCCCCTCTCTTACAAAGGCGATTGTTGACCCCGGCCTCGTGCTTCCCTGTCTCTTTCTCTTCCTGGCTTCTTCTAGGGAGCATGCTAACACGGTCAACACCTTGTCGTGGCGCCAGCGATACCGACCCTGGGCAAGAGCCGTTTTGCATGAAGACAGTATATGGGCCATGGTGCCTCTCTCCCCACAGAGTTTACATGCTGGGTCTTCTCTTAGCCCCCATCTGTATAGGTTGGATGGTGAAGGTAAGGTGTCGTAAACTGATCTTAGCATGAAGGATATGCGATAAGGTTCGAGATTCCACAGATCTGCCCATGAGATTTTCTTGCTGGGAAGGTTCCACTTTGTCCACGCACCCTGTGTTGCCATCTGGGTCAGTGCCTTCGCTATCCGCTTTTCTTCCTCTAGCTTCCTAACTTCCTCCTGAACTAGAGACCTTCTCTCCTCTCTGTTTGCCTTTCCCACTGTTGGAGTGGGTGGAACCTAAGCCCTGTCTTCCGATGTTGGTAATTCCGATAATGTCTCGCAACACCAGCATTCCCTCTGCTTGGTCTACCAGTGAGTCAGCTTTGAACCTCCGACCTGCCCTGGTTGTGACTCCGGCATCTCTAACTTTCTGGTCGTGAGAGTCCCTATACAGCATGACAGTTCTGCATTTGGCTACTTTGTACTCCTCCTCCACTGACGACAGCGGGAGCTGCATCTGCCCTGCCTTTGTATACAGCCCTATCGCGGTGAAGCTTGGCGGCACTCCTAACCACCGCCTCAGATGCTTGTTGATTTTCCTCTCGATCTCTGCAACAGACGTTAGTGGCATCTCGTAAACAGTTAACAGCCATATCAATCTCGGCAACAACCCATTCTGGTACAGCCACGCCTTAAACTTCCCTGGGAGGCCTGATTTCTCTATTCTCCTTAGCCACTCCTGGGTCTGTTCCACTGTACTGTGGACATTTCTCTTGTCTGTAAGTGTTTCATCGTACCACTTGCCCAGGCACTTAATTGGTTTGCCTTGTATTGATGGGATGGGGTCTCCCTGCACGTATAACTTGAATCTTCCTGAGATCTTCCCTTTCCTTATCACCATGCATCTAGACTTCTTAGGTTTGAACTTCATCCTTCCCCACGTTGCCGTGCGATCCAACTCTGCCAGCATCCACCTCGCTTCTATGTGGGAGATAGTTGTTAGGGTGATGTCGTCCATAAACCCTCTCAACGGTGGCTGTCTCGCCCCTGACTTCATCCTGGGGCCCTTCGCCTTAGTTGCTGCTGCGTCAAGGAGCAGGTTCATCCCCATTATGAACAGGATAGGTGAGATGGTACACCCTGTCACAATTCCCTTCTCTAACTTCTGCCACTGCGTTGTGAAGCTGGCCGTCTTGAACCGCAGCTGGATTCCCCCAAAGTAACTTCTAAATATGTATGTTTTTTTAAATATGGCCACACCAAGTAAATTTTATGGATGACGTCCGCGCGCGCATTGATTTTGGCCTGTTTCTAGAAAAAAAAAAGAAATTCCGCTTCCTGCGTAACTATGACCAAAAAGTCACGACAGTGCCGCAAATCACCAGATTGCAGATTGATGTGAAACCCGTTACGCGAAGAAAGTATCTCTTGACCATCCTGTCAATAACAGAAAATTTGCACTATTGACAGGACCATCCTGTCAATAACAGAAAGTTTTTCACTACCCACTGTTCCACCTGATTTATTGCTGTTTTGATGATGAATAAAAGACTTCTTGCTTGTTACACTGTGTCACCTCATTCAATTTGTGTCCTAACATTTGTCGTCTCTTTGTATATTTCTAATGTAGGCATCTTGTTTTTAAGGGCCCTTCTTGTTTTTTTTCGCCCTCTCGCATTAGATTTAGGGTCTCCAAAGGACGTCATCCATAAAATTTACTTGGTGCGGCCTATTATTGAAGTTCTTATAAGGTGGAGAAAGTCCCGTGATAGTAGCATGTCATGTTTCTTATGTCATCTTGTCACCATCTCACCACATTCACAGGTAATTTATTTAAAAAAAGAGGGTGTATGTTTTTGTCTTTGCTATAAATTTTAATTATGTAATCAAGTACCTTTTCTGAAGACAGAAAATAAGGACACTTAGGTATAACTACAGTGACATCGCAGGTATGTTGTTACTGGTATCATTTTGTCTATTAAATTTGGATGAATTCAAAACAGCTGCCCAGTGTCCTCCACTGTCAAATCCCATCAATGGGTTCATGACTGGCTCCAACTCCTACGGAGACGTGGTCAACTTCACGTGTGAGTCAGGATACAAACTTGTTGGTCCATCTTCACTGACATGTCTGTCTGATGGAACTTGGAATGGAAACTCTCCAACATGCACAGGTAATAGTGAATGAATGAATGAAGACCTTTCTTGTACAAACATACCCACTGGGTTAGGTACAAAGGTTAACTTGAATACACAAATATATACACAACAAGAACAATCTAGTACTAGAACTACAGTTTGTTACACAATTTCGACTTCTCTTCGCTTCTCTGTGATGTTGAAAAGATAAGAACATACAAGTTTAAGGATCGAGGGTTTGTCTAAGTTCATTAAAATAGTGAATTTGTCTGTATTACGTAGGTGTGTAAAGTGGGGAAACATCGATGTTATTCGTCTATAAAGTTCAATTCTCTCACTGTTACACAAACTACATTCTACTACAAAATGAAGTTCATCTTCTATTCTATCTAGATGACAGTATCGACAAATACGTTGTTCCAGGGGAGTGCGGTGTCAATAGTGCAAGTGGTAATATTTGCGCCTTTACTTTGAATTCGAATTGATCCAGATGTCATCAGTTATCAAAGAAAATCTAACAATGGTCAGATAGAATTAATTGCTGTGCTATTGCATCTTGTCAAATAAATTAGGATGTTTTCAATCTAGCTGCCCAGTGTCCTCCGTTAACAAATCCCATCAACGGCTTCTTGACTGGCCCCAACTCCTACGGAGACGAGGTCAACTTCACGTGTGAGCCAGGATACAAACTTGTTGGTACATCTTCACTGACCTGTCTGTCTGAGGGAACTTGGAATGGAAACCCTCCAACATGTGCAGGTAAAGCATTTAAAAATCCATTTTGAATGATGTAATCAGATATTATTTTAGTCAAATTGATTAGACTGGTATGGTAAAATCAATTGGACATGGCAAATATTTTACTGCTCGCTTTATCTTGTGAAATAAATTACAATGTAGGATGTTTTAATTCAGCTGCCCAGTGTCCACTGCTGTCAAACCCCATCAATGGCTTGGTGACTGGCTCCAACTCCTACGGAGACGTGGTTAACTTCACGTGTGAGCCAGGATACAAACTTGTTGGTGCACCTTTACTAACCTGTCTGTCAGATGGAACTTGGAATGGGGACTCACCAATATGCACAGGTAAAATTTTTCTACAGTTTATTTGGTTCCTGTTTTTTTCTAAATATGTATGTTTTTTTAGAATTTTATTTAAGTTTTTATAAGGTGGAGAAAGTCCCGTGATAGTAGCATGTCATGTTTCTTATGTCACCTTGTCACCATCTCACCACATTCACAGGTAAGGACATGTTGATTTGATTATATGGATGACATCCGCGCGCGCATGAATTTTCGGCCGTTTCCAAAAAAAAGTTTTCAACCATACTGTAAATCGTACAAAACAGTTGCAAAATGAGCAAAAATATACCATAAGTTACAAAAAAAATTAATAAAAACTATACCAATGTCGCAGAATGCCAAAATCAAACGAAAAAATACGAAATTGTAAAGAAATGAACTTGAAGACTAGATCATTCGCCAAACCATATTCTGTGCCATTTGCTCAACCCTCATGGCCACGTAGATTTCATAATGAAAAGAAGTTTTTTTTTCCAAAACTTTTTTTTATTCGCACGCGCGCATCAGTTTTGGGGCTCCCGGAGGATGTCATCCATATAATCAAATCAACATGGCCTAATTTATTTAAAAAAAGAGGGTGTATGTTTTTGAAATTTTGTCTTTGCTATAAATTTTCATTATGTAATCAAGTACCTTTTCTGAAGACAGAAAATAAGGACACTTAGGTATAACTACAGTGACACCGCAGGTATGTTGCTACTGGTATCATTTTGTTGATTGAATTTGGATGAATTCAAAACAGCTGCCCAGTGTCCTCCACTGTCAAATCCCATCAATGGGTTCATGACTGGCTCCAACTCCTACGGAGACGTGGTCAACTTCACGTGTGAGTCAGGATACAAACTTGCTGGTACATCTTCACTGACATGTCTGTCTGATGGAACTTGGAATGGAAAATCACCAACATGTACAGGTATTATATTAAAAAAAGATTAACATGTGTGCCTTTGAAATTAAATTGAATTATATAATTAGGTGATAATCTATAAATAGCTGAGATATAAGGTCATTGCTTTTTTCATGACCGTATTTCTCACAAGGAGTGAAGAGGATAAGTATGTAAGATTTGATTTGATTTGATTTGATTGTTTGCACATTAACAGACGGACAATAATAATATAAAAACAATGATAAAACAGGTGCAGGAGGAGGGGAGAAGCATGGCGTGCTTATACTAGGCCCTCCTCCTCTAAACTATACAAAATTAAATATAATTAATAAATGGAAATAATACAATAGAAAATGGAAATAATGCAATAAGGATAATGAAATAATGTATGGTATAAGTTAATGACAATGAAAATAAGGTAATGATAATAATTGGTATGAGTTATAATAGGAGAAAACACTAAATAAAATTACTACAGGGGGCTAGGTTCGTTAATCAGATGGTTTTTCAAAGCTTGTTTGAGTGAGAGAAGAGACAAGGTAGGATTCTTTAGGGCTGGAGTTAGTTTATTCCATAAGGTGACACCTTTGTATCTAACCGACATTTGGGCAAGAGAAGTTTTTACTAGGGGGGATATGAAAATCGGAACGTTTGCGAGTTTGATAGTTGTGAATCTGAGAACGAAAATTAAAAAAGTCATCAAATGTGTCCGGGAGTTTATGGTTTATATATTGGGCTACGAAAAGTACAAGAAATCTGTTTATGTCGTAAATGTTCAGAAGTCTAAGTTTTTTAAAATAGAGGCGAAGAGTGGGTGTAAAAACTAGAACCAGTGGCAAGAAACAAAGTAGTTACTATTATTTGTAAACTATTAAGAAAGCTGTAGTAAAACTACTGGGACGTCGTACTTTTCCAGCTTAGACATGTAATTTTGAGCATTTTAAAATCATGATGTATTAAATACAGCTGTTCAGTGCCCCACTCTGCCACATCCACGTAATGGCTTCGTGACAGGCTTCAACTCTTACGGTGACGTGCTTCACTTCACATGTGACCAAGGATACAGGCTGGCCGGCAAATCTTCACTCACCTGTTTGTCTGATGGAAGTTGGAGTGAACAGTCACCAAAATGCGCTGGTAAGGATAAAAAAGATTTTAATCTTATTGAGGAACCTGGGTCCTGCCATATACAAGTTATTTATTTATTTAATCTTCAAAGACACCTGGGTAGCTCCTTCAGCCAAAGCTGATTTCCAAGGAGGCCCAGGGGGGTACAGTAAGTAAAAGAATAATAAATTATACAAAGTACATAACAAAAGATGTAAATGAAATCAATATAACTGGAAGTTATACATAAATAAATGAATAATACGAAGTTCAACATGAACTGAGGGAATTTACAAGAAAACATAACTTCAAATCATAATCATAATCAACGTAAATCGATTTCCGTTCAAAATGATTGGAGGTCAGAGGTCGTCTTTAAAGCTGCCTTGAAGTGTTTTAAAGTTTGAATCTGCCTTACTTCAGCTGATAGTCTATTGAAGTACTTTGCACCCGTGTAAGCGAAGGCTCGCTGACCAGTTGAGGTATTGTATTTTGGTAAGTGTAGTTTAGTAGTCTGTCTGGTGTGATATGTATGAAGATTATAATTGTGCAAGAAAGTAGAGGATAGGTAAGTGGGCATCAAGCCATTCAGACATTAAATACTGTTACACACATATGTTCAAATCTTCTTTCAGTCAGGTGTTTCCAGTTTAGCATCTGGTGGAGGCTGTCAGTGCTGCTCTCACGTAGTCTTCTTTGCAGCACTACTCTGGCAGCTCTGTTCTGAAGAATTTGAAGCTGCCTCTGCTTGAGGGCTCCACATCCCTCCCACACCGTGTCGCAATAATCGAAGATGGGCAATATCATGGCTTTATACAGCATATCAGCAATGTTAAGGGTTAGGCAAGGTCTAAGGCGTTTCATTAGCCCAATTCTCTGTGCTACCTTGCCACAAACCTTGTCTACATGTTCATTAAATGATAGATTACAATCAAGAAAAACACCAAGATAATTGAATGTTTGTACTCTCTCTATGATCTCCTGGTCAATGCAAAGTTTCAGAGAAGGTGCAAGTTATAATCTATTGGCAGTACCAAATAGCATCCATTTAGTTTTGGATATGTTTAGCGTTAAACGGTTTGATTGGAACCACCTAGCTAGACCAGAAAGTTCAGAGTTGAGAGTTTGCTCGATGTGTTTTGCATTGTTGCTGGCACAGAAAATTGCTGTATCATCCGCATACAGACAGACTTTACATGCAGTGACAATATCAGGTAAGTCATTTATAAATATATTGAACAGCAAAGGGCCTAATATAGACCCTTGGGGAACACCTAGAGTGACAGGTAGGTATTCTGATGTACACCCGTTCAAAGAGACAACTTGTTGTCTCCCTGACAGGTAGTTTGCAAACCTATGGAATTCAGCACCTTG